ACTGGCAGGGCTGGGGGGGACCCCACTGCCAGGCTAGCAGGGGCTGCGGGTGGGGAGTGTGGGGCACTGGCAGGGCTGGGGGGCAGGGATAACTAGATTCTGGGGGCAGGCCCAGCCTCGCTCTGCCCCACCCCGGGCTGCAGAGGAAGTGGGCCGGCGAGTGGCTGCCAGCCTCGCGTGCCAGGCGCTGCTGGGACATGCTGCCCTGCCTAGGCAGCAGCTCTGAGCCAGGGGGGCTGGCGCCAGCTCAGGGAGGGGCTGCCCCACAGTCTCTGCTGTGCCCCTCGTCTGTGGGCCCCGCCCCGTCGGTCCGCCTGCCCCTGGCAGCCCCGCGCACGCCGAGCCCTGGCTTGCGGTTTCCTCTGGGTGGGGGTGGCAGCCGCTCCGCGCCAGCGGCCGGGGGGGGCCAGGAGCCAGGGGGGGCGGCGGCGGCACAGAGCTGCCGGCTGGGCCAGGCCGGTGCCGAGCTCGGTACCCACGGGGGCGCCAGGGAACCTGGCCACGGCGGAGCAGGACGCCAGGGGCCTGGGGGACTCCTTGCCACTGGACGGGGGAGACTCAAGGGATCTGCGCCCCCCCGGACAGACGGACGGACAGACGGCAGCTGAAGCAGAAGAGTTTATTCCCCATCCCTGGAGGGGGAGGGGCGGCTGGCGTGCACAACAAAATTAACCAAAAATTAATAAACTAGGAGTTGGGGGGGGGAGGGGCTGGTTACATGGTCGAAGCTGCGAAGGCGACGGCCGCCCGAGACCCCGAGGAACGGCCCGGCCCCAGCGGCCGTGGGGCCCCATGGCTGCCCGGGCGGGGGGTGAGGGGGGGGCGAGGCCAGCAGGGGCCCAGCGGACCCAGGCGTCCGGGCGGGGGCTACGGCACAGAGACGTGGAAGGGGCTGTTGGGCACGTGCTGGTCGCCCCATTTCACCACCAGGACGTAGTCACCCTTTTCCTTCAGCAGGTAGGAGACACTGTAGAGCCGGTTCCCCAGGTGCTTCACCACGATCTCCTCGCACGGCGTGCGCGGGCCGTGCACGCCCACCAGCAGCATGTTGTTCCCTGGGGGGGCACGGGGGTCAGGGGGCAGCCAGGCACAGCCCGGGCCCCCGGCTAATCCCCCTCAGCCCCCCAACCTCCATCCTCCTCCCAGCCAGCCCCCCCAGCTAGACCCCCCCAGCCAGCTCCCAGCCCCAGTGCCCCCTCAGAACCCCACGCCCCCGAGCCGCACAGGGTTAACTACACAGGCCCTGCAGCTGGCTGGCTCTGGGGGGTCCAGATCCACCCCCCATAGCACGGCTAGGGGCACCCCAAGGTCCCACTGCAGCCACCCCCAGACCCCTTCACCCAGCCCAGTTGTTCCTGCCCCATGTCTCCGGGGCAAAAACAGCAGCACCAGGTGGGTGAGGGGGAGCTGCCCTCCTGCCCCCCCCCGCCGTACCCCCCCCCCCCCCCCCCCCTGCCCCAGGGACCTGGCCCGGCCCCCACCGCCCCCCACACCTGCTTTACTGCAGTCCACCGTGAAGGAGTTCTTCTGGCCCACGAAGCCCTTGCTCAGCCCCAGACCCTTGGCCACCACCTTGCTGGCGTCCGAGGCGAACTTGGGGGGCGCCCCCTGCAGCACAGCCACCTCCGCCCGCCCGGCCGAGTCCACGAAGACAGAGGACGTCTCGTGCAAGCTGTGGCTGCTCACCAGGCGGGAGCCTGTGGGGGGGAAGATCGGGGTGATGGGGGGCAGTGGAGGGGATCCCCCGCCCCCAGCACCAGTGCAGCCGACACTGTCTGAGTGTGCAGAGAGCCTGAGCCCATTGCTCGGAGAGAAGTGAACCTCCACCCCCCCCATGGGAGGGGCTTGCGAAAGGCCTGCCCCCAGGGCCCAGGCACGCCCCCAGGGCCCACACCTGTGATCTTGGCCTTGAAGGGGCTGCCGGCGATGTGGTAGGGGCCGCCGTACTTGATGGAGATCAGGTAGCTGCCGGGCACCATGGGCGTGTAGGTCACTTTGTAGCCCTCGGCGCACTCCTGGCAGTCCATCTGCACCTTGGAGGGGCCGTCGATGGTCACGGCCAGGGCCCCGGGGCCCGCGTTGGTCGTGTTCACCACGAACTCCGCCGGGCTACCTGCAAGTGTCACGGGTGTCAATGCCGGCGCCCTCACTCCCGACCCCGCCCCTCACTCCCGACCCGCAGCCCCCAGCCCCACCGGTGCCC